CACCCAAGCATACCATACTCATGTAATAATTCTAAACAACATTTCCTTTGATTTAAACACAAACCATTATTAAATTTTATTATCTCAATTCCCAAAAAATATTTTAAAGTTCCAAGATCTTTAATTAGAAACTGAGTTTTCATAAAGTCCTTAACTTTCTGCAATTCATGTTCACAACTTCCAGTTAAAATAATTTCATCTACATATACAAGCAATATAGTTAATGATCCTTCAAATTTCCTTACAAATAATGAATAGTCACTTATACTTTACTTAAAACCAAACATAAACAAGGAAGAACAGAGTTTTTCATTCCACTTCCTAGGAGCTTGTTTCAAACCATATAAAGATTTAGTAAGTTTACAAACCCTAGAATCACCAATAGAAAAATATCCAGGAGGAAGAGACATATAAACATCTTCATTTAAGTCACCATATAAGAATGCATTATTAATATCTAATAGATATAATGGCCAAGAATTGTGTACAAAATCATTTAAGTATTCATTAGTATCAAATTCATCATAGGAAAATGGATCATTAGGGCCAAAATCAGAAAAAAAAAAAATTGTCAACATTAGTTGACTTCAATTTATATGGAAAAACAGATTCATAAAATTTCACATCCCTGGACATAAAAGAAGTATTAGTATCAAGACTAAGAAGTTTATAAGCCTTTTTATCAGAAGAATATCCTAATAAAATGCACTTTTCAGCACGTTCAGAAAACTTATCAGAAACATTTTGTTTAACAGCAAAACAAAGACAACCAAAAACTCTCAAATGATCAAAATTAGGTGTTCTTTTATAAACAAGTTCATAAGGAGATAATCTATTTAAAACTGATGTAGGCATTCTATTTATCAAAAAAACTGAAGTTAAAACAGCATCTCCCCAATATTTTATAGGAACAGCTGACTGAAACAAAAGTGATCTTGCAACATTAAGTATGTATCTGTGCTTTCTTTCCACAACTCCATTTTGTTGTGGAGTGTAAGCACAGGAAGTCTGATGAATGATACCTCGTTCAATACAAAAATATTTCATTTGATTATTCACAAATTCAGTACCATTATCAGATCTCACAACCTTAACATTAACACTAAACTGATTTAGTAAATTATTCACAAAAATCTTAAAGCAATCAAAAACTTCACTTTTAGATTTCAAAAGAAAAACCCAAGTAGCCCTTGATAAATCATCCACAATAGTCAGAAAAAACTTAAACCCTTCTACAGAAGCTAGTCTATAGGGACCCCAAACATCTAAGTGAATTAATTCACCCAACTGGGTTGAATAATGTTGACTAAGTGAGAATGACTCCCTAGTCTGTTTGGCCCTATAACAGACATCACAAGGAGGAAGTGACTCATTTCCTAGTTTCAATTTATTTTTCAAAATATTTAGAGCCTGATCAGCAGGATGACCTAGTCTACTATGCCAAGTTAACTTTGAGACACAACACTTAGAATTAGTTAGATTTACTGAATTACCTGAGGGAACATGATATAGGTAATATAATCCCCCAGATTCTCTACCATTCTCCACCATCTTCTTTGATAGTGAATCCTAAATTTTACAACTATGTTTAGAGAAAATAATTTCACATCCATTATCCTTACATAGTTTATGTACAGACAAAAGATTAACATTAAAGTCTGGCACAACAAAAACATCAAATAAAGTAAGATTTGAGGACAATTGAACATTCACAATCTTATTTATTTTAGCAGAAGAACCATTAGGATGTTTTACAAGTAGATTAAGTCTAGACACATCCACAGTGTCTTGGAGTTGTGATTCTGAGGCTATCATATGTTGATTTGCTCCAGAATCAACAATCCAACTTTGAAACTTATTTGGAGTAACACAAGAGTTAAAACAATATGTTGTTGTTGTTGTACCTGCCATATTTGCAGCAGCAGGTACATCCTCATTAGCAGAATTCTCATTTATGAGACGAAGAAATTTTGAATATTGTTCACTAGTAAGATAATGACATTCACTACCACAACCAGACTCAGAAGCAACCACAGAATTGCTGTTTGAACCAACAAAAGAAGAATTCACAGAAACAGATTTATTTTGATTATTATTTCCAATTCTTTGTTTAAAATCCTTTGGATATCCAATCAATTTATAACACTTTTCTATTGTATGACCTTTAAGATTACAGTGCTTACACTGTAATCCTTGATTTCTGAATCTATTTTGACCTTGACCTTTTTTAAAATCAGTAACCTTACTATTAAAAACAGACACTTAAGGTTTTGAAGAAACAACAGAACTCAAAGAACCATTCTTTTGAAGAGACTCTTCTCTAGAGAGAATTGAGAAGGCAGTTTTAACATTAGGCAATGGTTCCATTAAAAGAATGTGACTTTTAACCTGATTATATACATCATCAAGACCACTTAAGAATTGCATTAATTTCATCATTTTAGAATGATCATTTAGTTTATTTGCAGCCTCACAAACACATTCAGATAAACTAGTCAAACCATCAAACTCTTTCCATAAACAATCAAGTTTGTTATAATAGTCTGAAAGAGAAGAACCACTCTGTTTTAAAGTGTTTATCTGCTGATGAATATTAAAAATTACAGAACCATCAGCCTTATTATAGGTTTCAAACAACTCATCCCAAATGTCTTTAGCATTATCAGAATAAACATGACTAGCATATATTGCTTCAGATATAGATCCTAATCACCAATTACACACAACAGCATTCACACGTTCCCATTTAGATTTTTTAGTTTCATCAGTTTTTTCAAGAACAATAGTTCCATCCACAAAACCCAATTTATTTCTAGCTTTAAGGCCTCTAGTCATTGCACTACGCCATAAACGGAAATTTTCATTACCAGTCAATTTAATAGTTATTATGGAAGTAACTGCATTATCAGATGGATGTATGTATAAGGGATCATCAAAGTCAACAGGAGAATCCTTAGGGACACCACTTCCCTCAGGTGTATCTCCAACCATAACAGATCACAAAACAATACCAATCAAAGGCAAAAACAAGACAAGAAAATGTCAAACAGGTAAAGGACAAAAAACAACACTTATGTTGGCTTAAAGTCCAGATGGTCACCACAGTTTGTCGGGGCCCAAGACAACCAAACACAAGGTGAACAAGAAAAATAGAATCAACAATAAATTTCAGACAACAAATAACCAATGTAACAAAGACACCAGATCTTGCACATCTACAACCAAAAAGGAAAAGAAAGGGAACAAGAAAACCTCACAGTGCTTAAGGCAAATTGTTTGTTTAAAAATCGACTCCCTGAATCTTTTACTCTACGGGTTTATCGGTGATGAAATCCGACCCCAAAGAGAAGATTAGAGGGATTAATCGATAACTGATACTTGTGACTTTCAGTTTCACTCAGAACTTAGCACCAGCAGGAAACTCAATCTGCAAGAACAACAAAAAATTCTCGCAGTACCAGGATCTCAAAAAACTATGAAATAGAGTAAAAAGAATGAAACCCTAAGTCTAATACAGAGTAACTCAAAACAGGTTAATCAAAAAACAAAACTAACCTCGTAACAGTGATGACAACAGATCGTAGTAACGAACACCAGAAGATGCGTCAAGAACAAGAACGACGAGCCTTGAGCTTTGATACCATGTTAAAAAACTACAAACACATTTTTCCCAACATCTTCATTTCTTATATCATTTGAGGACAAAGAAACAGAAGGTTTTCAAGAACATACATCAAAAACGTCACTACAAAAACCCTATTCTACTCTCATAACAAAACACTCAAGCCCTAATCTAGAATGATTATCAGATATGAATGAACAAGACATAACACAGTAGAATATAAAGAACGATCAGGAAAAATACAACAAATCTACTACTCAAACGTTTCGATCTTTTAGAAAACCCTAACTGAAAGAGCTTGTATAAGAGAGAAGAACAAGATGAAAAATATCTTGCTTATCTGATCTCTTCCTACTCTCTCTCTTCTTTTATACCTCCTATCATTGAAACGGATCTAACCCGACCCTATTTAGGTCCGCGCTTCACACCTGCATACACTTATACATATACACTATATACATATACGTATAAAAATAAATATAAGATTGTATATTAATTCATAATATTTTCAACAATTAGGATAGAGTGTGTGCGGTTGGGTGTGCCATCCATCGTCATGCTTAGGTGGATGATGGCTTCCTCTGAGATTACGTTCTTGACGTGATATGGCTTGGCAGGCAACTCTTTACCAATAATCTAAAAAAATAGTATGACAAAGTTGACACTAAATGCATAATAATTAATAATGTACAACATTCCTTTTAGCTAAAGGCAACCCGATATGCATATGGAGGGAATCAGATATGAGGGGTCGATCCATGCATGCATGCACTACAAGAATAAGGAACTATAGAGACGAGATGTACCAAGACGACAAGTGTCGTCGTTATAGACGCCCTACAGAGACGACATATCGTCTCCATAGAGTTTAGAATATATTTTTTTGGCGTTTGCTATTACAGCGGTCTGAGCATGTAAAGCGGGTAAAAAAGGCGCGTTTTGGAGAAGATTATAGGGACGACTTGGCGTCCCCACAACTTTCTATGCCTTAAATCAGCAGACAATCTTCTTTCTTTCGTTCACACACACTCAATTATCTGTCTATGTCTCTCTCACTTAAGATCGGAGATTCTCCCCTCCCTAATTTCGACCATTATCTTCTTTGGTGACTTCCTCACCTCCCAGTCCATGCGAATCTTCGTCCTCTCTCCATAGATTCTCATGCTAATTGTCGAAAACCACCATCGGCTCAACAACTACGATTTGTTTCAACATCGACGATTCTGACTATCGCCTTCCTTTTCACATCCGTTTACCAATTCTATCGAATACAAGCCCTAATCCAGCTACCAGGTTAGTAAGTCTCTGTTTGAAACTGTAATTGTGGTGTATGTTAGCAATTATGTGTTTGAAACTGTAATTGGGATATAGGTTAACAATGATGATGACGAACAAACTCAAATTCAATACAGATTTGTTTTCAGTATTGCTCTGTACGGTTTCTTTGGCGGAAGCAAGGTTATTGTATTTTCAAAAGGCTTATTTCTGAAGGTTATCTGACACCATACCAAAAATCCAGGTAGGTTGTAGGCGAAATATTATTGTTAAATCTCATCATTGTTTTTACAAGTCTAAATGACTTTGTGATCTAAAAAAAGTGAGCTGAATTCCTGTGGATTTATTATAACTTACGATAAGTTACATTTCACTAAAAGAGAAAGTTAAGCTGGATGAATTTAGCACAAGAAATTTTTAATTGTGCATTTTGTTCGTTTTTGCTTATAGAAAAATTTGGATGCTTTTTATTTTCTTTGCAGGGAGGTAGGGCTAGGGTGTTCATGTACCAAAAGGTACATACATAAGCAAGAAAACAAATGTCCAATGTCCCTGCTTTCATTTATGTAGGAATTTCACTGGGGATATTGCTTGCAAAAGTATGCCAAAAGAGTGGTATAGTTCATCATTATCATCATATTTTTTTTATATATATTTTGATCATTAGTAAGAACTACTAAATAGGATAAATCGAGTACCTTCTCATATGAGTTGATAAGCATGCCACTTTAAAGTGTAATTGTTTCACTAATCTTGATTTCGACTTTTTTGTGCAATTCAGAATGAGTAGGCATTAGTAGATGATTTGATAGAATTTTGGAACAAATTGTTGCTTTTTCACATGAATGTATAAGACTCTGATTCTTTTTTTCATCTTTTCCTTTCTTTTGGCAACAACTTTTCACATGAGGATCTTTCCTTAAAATGCAGTAATCTCCATCAAGGCCAAGTGGGAGGGTGCAACTTGCAAATGAGTCTGCTGAAACATCAGCATTCTCCCCATTGATTGGAAGAAAAGTGAGAACTAGATGGCCTGATGACAACAATTTTTATGACTCTGTTATAACAGATTACAACCTCATTGAGGTAATTTGATCTTGCTTGCAGCTCCACCTCCAAATTCTATGCTAAAAAAATATCTTGATATGGCTTTTAGGGTCGACATGCACCAGTTTATGATATTAGGACAGCTAATGAGACATGGGAGTGGGTTAATCTTGTAGAGGTAAGTGTAGGAAGTTAAACTCTAGGTCCTAAATAAAATGTTTAAAAATATTGTTTGATAATTGATACTAGATGCAGATACAGGTGGATATACAATGGGAAGGGGAGGATCCTAGGATTCCTCATAAAGGGGGTTGGATTAGGTCCAGGTGGAGGTGGAGATGGAGGTGGAGGTGGAGGTGTAGGGGGAGGTAGGGATAGAGGGTTGCCTAAAAGTTAAGCAGCAACACTAATAAAAGAAGGGCCTAGACAATATTCAGCACACTCTTACTCTAATAAAAGAGGTAGATGTGACAACCCGATATTTCAACTCTTTGTAATGACCTAAAAGGTCAAGTATTGTAACCACTTTTGAGTTAATAAAATTAACTTTCATAATAAAATGTCCAAATAGTTCTATTTAAATTCCTTCTATATTTAAATATCTTTAAACCATGATCGTACGTAAAAAGAACGCCCAAATCCGACTTCGTATATTGAAGTTATGATTTTTTTAAAGAAATTCCTTAAACACGATGAGTTATAAAATAAATAATAAAAATAATTTCGGAATTTGCCAACAAAGTCTAAACGAAAGTGGTAGAGCGTAGTCTCACCTACGCGTGGATATAAAGACCATCGAAAACGGAGTTCGTATGAAGAAGATATAAATTTTTGAAGTTTATTAAATAAATTATATATTTATTTAATTCAAAATTCAAGCATTATCCGAAGAGGAGTCAGCGTCCTCATCCGAGGTACGCGCTGCGTACTCCTGTACGCCCTGCGTACACGAGGGACTTGGCCTCAAATCGTCCACGTTGCCCTATGCGAGGCTACCGACCCGTCCGACCCGCCGTCCCATCCGACCCGACAAACTGATCCGTCCCATCCGAAGCCGAGGCAGTCGAGGCTTCGGTCATGCATGACGTACGCGTACGCGCTGCGTACGAGCATACGCCCCGCGTACGAGGCTTCTCAGACCCTCCTATAAATAGCATGCGAGGGCTTCCGAGAAAAATGCTCATTTCTCTCCTTTCTTTCACGATATTGCCTCGTTTTCCGTGCCCGTTCAAACCCGAAGCTCTAGTCTTTTTGCTCAAGTCCTGAGGGTCGATTTTACTCCCGAGATTCCCGAGAATCCCGAGAAAAATCCGTTTCCCAAGACGAAACTCTGCCCGGTTTTCCATCTCGCTATCTCCAAACTTTCAAGTGAGTTCATACCCCCTTAATTTACCTTTTAAAGGTTCTATAAATTCTTTTATATGCTTTCAAGGGGGGGATTATAAGTAAAACACACGAGTATTATCGTGTGTTACATAAAGAACTCTTTTATATGCTTTTATATATCCAAATCACATGCGATTTACAAACTTTTAAGGAACTTTCATATATATATATATATATATATATATATATATATATATATATATATATATATATATATATATAACATATGTTAAAATAGCATTCTATCTTTTGAAATATAAATTTGTTGAAATGCATGTATAAACTAAACTTTCTTAGATTATACTTATCATTCTTAGACTCTACACCGAAAATCTATGCTTTCATAACAAATGATTCCTTTTCTTGGTATTTCTAAACAAACGAGACACACTTTTAGAAAACTATAATAGGTATAGTTTTACGAACAAATTTCTAACTCTTATGTACTAGAAACATGAATTTCAAGAAGTCACTTTCGTATACAAGAACAAACGTAACATTTTAACAAGTAGATCTGTTTTTATACCACGGTTTTGTGAGACACTAACTTCATGTACGTTCGAGTACACATTTCAAGTCCTGTATTATATACCAGAATCCCTTGGAGGGGGAGCATGGTGTTTGTGTATAGATCTATACGGGCTTGACAACCCGCACCCTGATTGTTAGCTGCAGTCCACCGTTTGGGGTGACAAACGTCATAACATTCCAACGCCTGAAGAACGTTGTGTATAGGTATTCCGAGTCAATAGTATGGTTATAAAACTCACATGGGGTATTAAAAATGCATTGATTTACAAGGTTTTCAAACACATTGGTTGTTTTACACTTACATACATTTTTAGAAACAAACATTGGTCTTGAGTGAAGGCTACTTTTATACTAGTAGAAAATATAGGATTTTCTAAACACAAAGAAACAAAGACAAAACATTTCATTTCATACAAACATTGTCACTTAAATACTTATGAAACTCACCAGCTTAAATGCTGATCTACTCTTTCAAAATTACTTGTATGTCCCAGGAAATCAGTAATTTCAGGTATTCATTACGCTTTTGATGAAGGGATGCTGCGGCGCCAGTTTAATCTCGTATTTTGACATCATATTGTAATTGGTTTTGAACATGTAAACTTTTGACAAATGTAAACTTTCAATTATATATATATGATGGTTGTATTGCTTTCTTTACTATGTATTCATTTGTTACGCTACCACATGAAGTCATCCACCCCCAAACGTTTCCGCCGTTCAGGTTTGGGGGTGTGACAGTAAATTGCAGATAACTCATTGTATTCTATTTACAAGAGAGGAATTTTAACACAGGTTATAACTTATGTCATGTGAGTGCAACACAGGTTGAGAGGGTATTTGGGTCTACTTTTGAAGCATGTGGACAACAAAAATTATAAAAGAGCATGTATGTACTTAACAAGTTCAGCAAGGTAAACTACCACGTTTAAATGAATCATTTTTCTATACATCATGTCATCTATTTGTTGTTTGAAACTTGGAGTTTCAGTTTCATAAATCATTTTTCTATACATGTGTACCTGGTTTGCATTTCATGGTCATTGGAAAGTATAACCTGATAGAAATAGTTTATTATATATGCTTTGTACTTGGTTTGTATGTTTCAGGTGTGAATGTGGCTATGCAATTTAGTTTTCTTGAACACACCACACCCTTTGGATACTTTGAGAGACAAGTGTGCGTATCAAATTGTATGAACTCTTAAACAATTCAAAATTATTTTGTATGTTTTGGTAAACAATTGTATAAGATATTCAAATGTTTTGATATTATTGTATGATATTTTAGAGTTTTTAGTTAAATTTAGTGTTTTTTCTCTTTTGTGATTGAGAAAACTAGAAAAATATACCAAAAATAGGAGTTGAATGTAAATTCTGTATAGTATCTATGGAGACGACATTTTGTTGCTATATATCTAGCTATGGGGACGACATGTCGTCCCTGTAGATCCAACAATATAGATGACAACCAGAAACCAACAACGACAACATCTCGTCTCTAAAAGGTACCTATGGCGACGATATATATAGCGACGCCAAAAAAGATCTATTGCGACGGGGATATAGCGACAAAGAGTTATAGGGACGACTTTCTAACATATAGAGACGACATTTTTCGTCCCTATAAGTCCCATTTCTTGTAGTGATGAACACCGGAGGTTTCTCTCTTCTTCTTATTCTTCTTTTCTCTCCATTTCTCTCTATCTCTACGTGTGAACATTGCCTCCTTGGGCTGTAATTGGCGTTCGTGGATCGGAGTTTTGATGAGGTGGTCATGCCTTTTGGCTCTTTCACGCTTATGTATGCCGGATGAGGTAATGGTGTTTGGGATAGCTGATTTAACTTAGCATATTATCTTATTCATAATTTTTTTTAAAGATTAATGGATTACTTATGTGATGGTATAAAACTATAACTTGATAAGTCAATTTTTAATAAAAAAACTGTTTGGGCTAGTTTATACATGTAATATGACCAAAATAGATATGCTTAGATATTTAAAGCTATTTATTATTTTTACAAAATTTGGATATTCCTAGCTTACAAATCCAAACACGAAACTCTCAAAGTGTTTAAAATAGTTAAATATGTTTAGGTAGTCCACAAGTTTTAAGCCCAAATGACTAATTAGTTTAACGAAACAAAGAAGGTAAAAGCCCATATATTTTATTGCTCAGTAATCAGAAGGAGAAACAGAAGAGGGAAATGCTTTGCCTCCTCTCCATGTTTACTCACTATTGACGTTGGTTGTCGTCGGCGTCCGAAAAATTGCTCTCTACCCAGTGAAATGTGAACTCTCACCGACCTTTCACAATGAAACATTTTTTTTTTTTTGGGAACGACAAATCTATTCTACTCCTAAACTATTCTCCTATATCCATCTATGTCTCTAGCAGGATTTGAACCTTCAATCTCAAAGAGAGAGGACAACACCGAATATTGTTAGGTCAGAAATCCTTTGGTCACAATGAAACAATTAAGCAACTCAAGTTACCCTATCCTATTATTTATTGTTAGGTTATTTCAAAATTCAATTATATGACAACAAGATAAATTAAGTTATAACGAACCTCACCTATCAACTAGACAAACATCACATGTAATGGACTTAATTTGTAATAGTTACAACTTTTAATGAAATACAATTTTTGTGTTATTTTGAATTATTTTTCGAAAGTACATGTTAACAAGATTCCAGAAATAGGTTACTTATTAGTATAAGTAATCTAAACGAAAGTCGTAGCAGTCGTAAAAGCGAAAATCTGCATAGAGTGAACGTCCAAATCTGACTTCATATAGTAAGTTATGATTTTTTAAAGTTTCGGCGCAACAATATGAATATAAAAATTGAAACTATAATCGGTTATATGTTAGATAAAACAATCTAAACAAGAGTTGAATATCTAGTTAATAGAAATTTGTTGATGTAAAGACAGTCGAGAATGAAGTTTATATAAGAAGTTATGAATTTTATATGGTTTTTTGCAGTGTAATCTTTATAAACTATTTAATTTAAAAAATGATGAGAATTAGCCGACATAATACAAATAAAAGTTGTAATACTCGTCGATAGCTACGTGTTGATATAAAGAATATCAAAAACATAACATATATGCGAAATTTGTAATTTTTTGAAGATTGTGAAAATACTAATGAAACAGATGACGTGGCAGTCGAGGAAGGAGTCTGCGTGCGTCTATCTAGATGTGACACGCTTGTGTCTAGCATGCATGAATGACATGTAGGAGGCTGTGTACATGCCACACATGTTGACTCA